GTGGATTGATATTTTTTAAATGTTTGCTGAAGACATCTTGCCCTGGAGTTTTTAATGTGGTAAAGTTGCTCTAGATTTCATTTCTTTGGTAGGTAATGAGCAGGTTGTCCTTTGTTTAAGTCTTGGTGAGTTACATATTTCTAGAAAGATTCCTGTCATCCAGACATTTTAAATTCTGCTGGCATAATAATGTCCTGTCTTTCAGGAAACGGTAGTGTTCTCTTAATTTTGATTTTGGGTGATGCCTGGTTCTACTCTGGGGACTGCTTCTACTTGTAGGTAGGCTCTGGGATGGTCCGTAGCAGGGGACTGATCAAACCTGATGCTGCTGTGTGCGGCACAGAGAGAGCTTTCTCCAGCGCTCACTGTCTCCTTTCACACGGGACTCGGAACTGTGTTTGCAGAGGGGGTGCCCTTTCTTAGTTTCTTTCCCTTCTTCTCTCCCCCCTCCCCCCACACACACGTCCCTGATTTTTAGCTTAATTTTAATTATACATGTTTGGGTTCAGGCAGATGATGTTCCAGCACCAGTCCTTTCACCGGGGCCCTCTGCCCTCAACTGTGTCCCCACACTCCCCTCCCTGCACTCCCTGATGTTGCGGCGGCCAGGCTTCATGCACAGACTTCTGGCTGACCCTGGCACGTAGAGAGCTGGTGGGTGCCAGATGTCACTGGGACTGTCCATTGTGGTGCTCGCCCACGTTCTGGTGGAGGTGCTCCCCAGTGCTTAGCCTTCCAAGTTGTGCTCATGGGGGTCGCACCCTCAGTTCTGTTCATACACATCTAGCTGCTGTGAGGCTGGAGGTTGTGGACAGCAAAGATGCCAGCTGCCAGCCTGAGTGGGCCCAGAACTGTATTTGGTGCGTGACCCTGGCCTTCTGCTTACAAGGTAGCCATTCCCCGCTGCTGCACGTGGCTCCAAAGATTGATTGTTCTCTTACCCCACTCCCTGATTCTGAAATGGGTGCTATGTGGCTTAATAAAAATATTTGTATATGTGTGTGTATGTATATCTGTATACATATATGCATATGTATAAAAATAAACTTTTGTATACGTGTGTATATATACACAGATACATATATGCACTTGTCCCACTGTACCACTGTCCTCCCGTTGTTCATTGATGTGCTCAATCGGGCACCTACACATGTATATAAAATAAACATGTATACTTATATACAGATAAGTATATAAATAAAATATTTGTTTATGTGTATATATGTATACACATACATATATATGTCTCACAGTACTGCTGTCTACAGTCCTCCGCTCTACCAGCTGAGCTATCGAAGGGCGCACACATATATATATGTATATAAAATAAACGTAAATAACATCTATGTTTCTTCTTCCCCTTTGCGGAGGTGGTTTTGGTGGCAGTGATTGTGGATTGCACTCATGTTTGCACGCACACACGCGCGCGCGTGCACACACACACACACACTGGCTGTGGCACTCGCACACTGAGCTTCAGGCTCTGCGTGCTCACACCTCAGTTGTACTCACACACTTGCCCTCAGGGGTTGCTCTTATGGCCCTGGGGACCTCGCACACTTGCTCCGCAGGGCTTGCACCTCCTTAGGGTACTTACACACTTCTTGGTTGGGGTGACCCTTAGGGTGGCACATCTCAGTACCCCTGGGCCAGGGACGACAGCCACTGCTTCCGCACCAGGAGAAGAACCAGCTGAGCTATCTCAGAGCCCCGGGGAAACTTCAGTGTACGTTTTTTGTTCTTGGTGTCCCCCTCTGTGCACTAGGACAGTTGCACCCGTCAAAACCTGGCTCCATTGGCTTTGTCACTGAAGTATTTTCTAGTTGCCTGGAAGAACAGCGCTGGGCCTCAGAGTGCCTGTCCTGGCCAGCAGGTGATCAGTTCAGCTCGCCCTGTCCCACCTACGCTTGAGCACAGATGATGGCAGCTCTGCTCTGTCATCTCTGGCCCTACGCTGCACCCCTCACCCCTCGCTGGCACCTCAGCTGAGATGATGCCAGGAGGGATAGCCCCAGGCAAGCCCGTGTGCAGATGTTGGAGCAGCAGACCAGATCCTTGCAACCTGGGGCGGCTGAGAGGAGCAGGAGGAAGTTAAGTAATAAGCAAATAGGCTCTGCGTTCTTTCTGGATGTAGGACTTTCTTTTTCTTTTTTTTCTTTTGGTGCGAGAGCACACCTGGTTTTGCTTGGGGGCTGTTTCTGGCTCTGTTCAGGGGACCTTGGGGATTTGATCCCAAATATGTAGCATGCGAGGCCCTTCATTCCCTTACCTCCCACGTTGTCTCTCTAACCCTTCCGCTTGGTTTTTAAACCCGTTGCTTCATTAGGCTCCTCATTCCTACTACTGGCATGTTGGAAGATTGTTTTCCTAGTTCTCTTTTCACTCCTGATTCCTAGTTTGAGCCAGTAGAGCCAGAGAGCAGTCATCACATGACTCATGTTCTCTGAACTCTGTCAGGCCCGGACGAGTGGCAGAGAGGCTCCCCTGCCTCTGAAATTCCATCCACAGGGTCTTGAGTGTGCTAGGTGTGTGCCTGGCAGCTCTGCACACGTGCAGGTACTATAGCTGTAGGAGCATAAATAGCACAAATGTTTGCACTCCGTGTGTGTGTGTGCGCGCACACGGGAGGGCAAAACCCAAGGAGTGTCCCCCCTTCTCTCCCCCGCGCCCCCCTGCCCCCCCACGCCCCCCCAGCTTCTCTGGACCTGCACAGCTTTTCACTGCAAGGCCTCAGCGTGGAGCCCTCTGGCCCACCCAGCTGGGTCAGAGCAGTATCGCCAGGAGTGGCTACCGGTAACAGCCTCCATCTCTATCAGAGTAACTTCCTTGCTTTCAGAGTAAGGAATTGGTGTCAGCAGCTTTAGGGGTGATTCATGAGTTACTGGACTTTGGTACTGAGGCAGGCTCTTGTGATGTTGAGTGTTCTGGGTCTTCAGATACTCACCTTATTTCAGTCTCTGGTAGTTGTTACTGTTCATTTTGCTTATCTTGATTAGTGGGAGACCTTCTGTGTGTAATTTTGAAATCTTTTTTCATCATGACCAAGTAGTCTGAAATGACTTTGTGTGTGTGTGTGTGGGGGGGGTCATGCACCCCTGGAGCTTACTCCTGGTTCTGCACTCAGAGGTCATCTATATGGGGTGTCAGGGATTGATCCCAGGTTGACTGCATGCAAGGCAAGTGCCCTAACCCCTGTGCTGTCTCTCTAGCCCATTCCTGGTTTTTGGTGTTTCTTTTCTTTTCTTTTTTTTTTTTTTTAGGCTTGGCTTATACTTTTCCTACACAACCTGGAATTCATCAATCCTTCTAGAAGCGCCAGTTCTCACTATTAGTGGGAACCTTAAAAGAAAGAAATCTTCGTTCATACCGAAGTTTCAGAATCAGATGGCTCCCTAGTTTTCTTTGTTTTTACACTTGTGCCTCGTAACACTGAAAGCCTTAGTTCCTAACAAACCTAACCTAATTACATAATTGCTTTATCCTGATACAGAACTTTCTTATTCCTGTAATATTATTAAGGAAGAGGGTCACCGTGATAGTACAGTGGGTAGGGTGCTTGCCTTGCACACAGCCAGTCTGGGTTTGATCTCTGGTGTTCTACCTAAGCACTGCCAATAGTGAACCTTGAGTGCAGAGCCAGAAGTAAACTCTGAGCACAGCTAGGTGTGGGGACCCCCCTCCCCCCCGCCAATTTAATGTCCTGGTTTGCATTAATAAGAAATGAGCTTATAAATCATCATAATTCCATAATGCCACCACTTGTTGCTGACAATAAGACCCCTGAATGGCATTTAAGCATTTTTTGCAGGACCATGGAGATAGTTTACGGGGCAGAAGTCATGCCTGGCTGAGTGCAGTCTTCGGCATCTGTCCCTCTCACCCCGTTCGTTCCCTTTCTTTCTGACTGCTTAGGTAGCTGCTTATTTCACTCTCAAGGTACTAGAATCAGACACACACACACACACACACACACACACACACACACACACACACACACGAGCTCCTTAATCATTAGTGATTGCCTTTTGCTAAACTGTCAACCACTTTTTAATTATGCAGTTGATACATAAAGAGAATCTAATTACTAGTGACAAAATAAAAGCGAAGAGGAAGTTCTTAATTTCTGGATTACCCTGAAAGGACCCAGGCTTACAGCTGAAAACAGAAACTAAGACAAAATACACCCTGGGTTGAAAGCACCATTCCTCCTATTTGGGAGGCCCTGGGTTTGATCCCTGAGAGCAACAAGCGTGGCGCCCAGCTGCCATCTCTGGCCACTTCTGCCAGAGTGTCGAGATTTATTATTTTTTAATTTTTGTACTTTCGAAAGCTTTGCCATTGATGGCATCTCTAAATTGTTCATAAAATTGATACTTAACAGGGCTGGGGAGAAGGCTGCGTTCCTGGCAGGTGGGAGCCCTAGCGCCCTGAAGTGGCGGGAGCAGCTGCCAAGCAGCGGTTTCAGAGCATCACTACTGAGTGCGGTGCAAGCATTTAAAAGCTTCCATTTTTCATTCATTGTTGTTTAGTTAACTCGGAGGGCAAAAACAAAAAAAAAACCCTTAGTGATAAGTGGTCCTATTTAATTTCAATTCTAATACTGCTGGAATACTTTTGGAAAAATTAGAATATGTTTCAGATTTTGAAGTAGCATTTCCACAGAATCACTTCTTCAATACACCGTCTACCATGAGTTTTGTGAGGCAGTGATACCACGTTATTCTGCTTTATCTTGGGAGTATCCAGAGCACGCCTTATACTCTAGAATAAGTTAGTGAGAATCTAAGTTAATAGATTGGGAGACTTGAAGAATAATTTGAATGTTGCTTGCTTACATTTTTTTTTCTACATTGCAATATTCATACCACGTGAATTTTTTTTTAATCCATCTTTGTAATGCAGTCTTACAACAAATGTTTTTTTGTTTTGTTTTGTTTTTTGGTGACAGTTAACTTTTGATGTGATGTCCAGTTTAAACATCAGCTATTCTATTTTTCTAGAAGAACCTAACAAGACATGTGACAGCAGTAACACTAGTGCTACCACTGCCTCCATCCAGCCTAATCTGGAAAACAGTAGCAGCAGCAGTGAACTCAATCCCTCCCAGAGTGACTCTGCTAAGGCAGCTGACGATCCTGACCATGGAGAAAGAGAACCCCATACACCTGTCTCTAGTCCAGAAGAGATAGGTAAGAACACATCTCATGCATTAAGTCAGCTTTTTAATTTTTCAGATTTTTAAAAAATAAACGTGATGGGGGTGGGAAATTTAGATTTTCTTTTTTTTTTTTAAGGAACACAAATAGCACCCATTGTCTTTTGTTTTTGGGGAGTTTTTTTTTTTTTTGAAAAAAGAAAAACATAGTTATACAGGAAGAAATACATATTTTCATACCCCCTCCTCAACCTTAACCACCATTTATGGCTTGGTGTTTGACATTTTGTATCTTTCTCCATGCAGTTACATGAATGTTTGCATGATTATGGAACTTTTTAAAAAAATCATAACCGAGATCATTCTGCATGTATTGTTCTGCATCTTGCATCTTGCTTTGTTCACACAGTAATACTTATTGGGAATCTTTTTATGTTACAAATTGAATTCATTCTTCCTTTTTTTTTTTCTCCAAACTGCTGCATGGTACTCCATATTTTGAGTGAACCATAATTCACTTGTTCTTTTTCTATGCATGGACATTTAGGCTGTTAACAGTTTTTTGATTATTGCAAATAGTAGTGCCTTTTAACACCTTCAGCATACATCTTTGTGCACCCATGGAAGTATTTTTGGCAGTATAGGAACAAATGGTAGGTACATTCCTAAAATAGTGATGGTGTATTCATTATAAATCAAAAGGAATTTCTTCCAGTTATTCATATACATGTTTCTTCATATTCATCTAAATTCAGCATCATCAATCTACTACATTTTTGTCAATGCTGAAAAGTATTGAAAATTTTATATATCACTGCTTACTAATGTGATTGCGTTTCTTTCCGTATGTTGATTAAACTTTCTGTGAATTGCTTTTTTATATCCCTTGCTCATATTTTTCCTATTGACTTTGAGATTTATCCTTAATGAGTTTTAGGAGTGCTTTACTTATTATGACTCAATCTCTGATTTTACATGTATTCCTATATATATGTGTGTATGTGTGTGTGCGTGTATATATATGTATATATACACACACACATATATTTGGTAATTGCTTGCTTTTAATGCTTTCTGTTATCTTGTACAGAACCTTTTTCATTTTTATGTAGTTAAATTTATTAATCTTTTTTTTTATGGCTTCTCTGGATTTTGAGTCGAAAGAGGAGAGTACCCATCCTGAGATTATACATATTAGTTATTTTGCATAAGATTCTATGATTTTATTTTTAGTTCTTTTGGGGTATAATTTTTATATGGTATGAGATGAAGCTTTGTTTTAATTGGGACTTTTTTGTCAGTAATCAAAACTGCCAAAACTAGCATAAGTGAAATGGAAACACAGTTAGCTCATGTCATTGGAAAGCTGCCATCAGTATAACCGAACCCCAGGTATCAAAATTCCTCCTGTCTTCCCCTCTCTTGCTTACCTTTTGGGTCTGTCCATGTTTGTGTTAACCTCTTTCTCTCCTGATATAAACAGGCTTTTGCCCCGTGGCAGGGAAGTTTGTATTCATATTTTTTCAAGGCTTGCACCAGGGCCCTACTCCAGTTCCAAATCAAAAGTCCTCAAGGGAGGAATTTGATTGGCCCATCTCACTACATAGCTTGTAAAAATTTCTTTTCTTAATGCACACCTGGGAATCATACTTGTATCTAGAACCAAATCTAGAACGTCTTTGTGCAGTGTTATATTTTATTAAGTCTGGATGTGGGCTTTTTTTGTCTTGTTTTGTTTCATGTTTTGGGTCACAGCTGGCGATGCTCAGGAATTACTCTTGGCTCTGCACTCCGGAATCCTCCCGATGGTGCTCGGGGGACCCTGTGGGATGCCAGGGATGGAACCCGGGTCAGTCATTTATAAAGCAAATGCCCTCCCCACTTTGCTATCGCTCTGGCCCCGGATGTGTTTCCTTGCTTTCACAATCCGTGAGCCAAATTCAGGTTGTTCTCGCTATTCCAGTTGTAAGGGTGTTCTTTGGTGGTTGGTTTTCTGGGGTGACGAAAAGAGGTTGTGTAATGGCAGTGCCCTTCTGAAGACGTGCTGCATCAGCAGCCCTCTTCTGTCAGTTGACAGGGATGGTTGCCATCAGTCACGTCAGCTGGAGTAATCAGGTGGCCAAGTTTGGTAGATTCAGGTGTTTCCCTTGCCGCTAGAACCCCTCTGGACAGTGCCTCAATGCTCAGCTATTCTTCATGAGCAGAAACCTGGCTCAAACTCCCCATGGTGAAGCCCCTCTTGCTTGCCCGTTGGTCAGTTATACAGACCAGTGACTGTGAGCCTCAGGGGAGTAAAGGGTGGCCGAGCTCTGCTTCCAGGCCTCTTTCAGCGTCAGATGCAGAGCAGAGCGCGGCAGTGGGAATAGCCCTGCTCTTGGCCTCCAGGCTGCATGGCAGATTTGTGTAATAGGTGTAATGTGGCATGTGGATGGGCTGGTTACCTCGAGACCTCCCTCCTCAGCCTTCTCCCCTTTCCCGTGTTACCCCTGAGATGAAATTTCTCATGCAGCACTAAAATTAGCAAGTGTATTTAATCTAGAACCCATAGTTTGAATCATGGGCTCTAAACAGAGAGGGGCTTTTTGAAAAGCAGTGTGCATTCCCTGCCTGCTTTCAGGAACTCCAGTCTTGACCACATGATAATCTGAAAGGCCTCTGTGGAGATCGGGTTGGTACCCCCAGCGCGGGCCCCATTCAGTCCCCAACATTGGCTGCCCTCTCTAGTACCACCAGCAACACTGGGGAAGGCTGAACAAACAAAACAAAACATTCTGTCTGGGGCTGGAGAGCTAGTACAGCAGATAAGGCGTTTGCCTTGCGTGCAGCTGACCTGGATTCAATCCCCGGTACCCTGTAGAGTTCTCTGAGCCCAGTCAGAGGCGATCCCTGAGTGCAGAGCCAGGAGTAAGCCCTAAGCACTACCCAGTGTGGCCTCCAAACCAAACCAAAACAAAAAGGGCTTTTGCCAGACTTATAGATGGTATAAGAAAGAGTCACCATATTTGAATTAATATGCATTAAAAAGAAGTTTCATATCTACGTATCTCCAGGTTAGATCATTTTTTCAGACCCAAGAGAACATTGTTGACAATTGGACTCATTACTTTGCTGTGTGTCACATACAAACTTTCCAGCCAAGTTGTCAAGATGGTCAGTTACCTCCCCACCCCAGCCCCAATTTTAATTTTTTTAACTTGGCGCCATATCTGAGGATCAGAATCTTAAAATACTGTGAATTATTGACTGTGAGTGACAGAATTCCACTAAACCTGCTTGAAACGAAAATGTTACTGACTCTTAAAATGAATCACCAGAGAAGGTAGTTAACTGGCTCAGGTGCATTCTGGGCCCCGGGGCGCCAAATTATTCTCTGGGCGGGCCGGCTCTTCCTGGCGCTTGCCCCTCCAAGATGGGTCTGTGGTCTCCTGTTGGACAGCCTCATTTCATCCATGTTGGGGTACAGTAAATGCCCTTTCTGCTCACTAATACACAAATCTGAAACCTTTCTTTGAATTTTGAGAAATTTGGGTCGAGGGCCCATATATAATTTTGGGACGATCAGTGGTAGGAGCTGCTTACCCCATAGGGAAGATAACTTGATCAGCAGCCCTGGATGAAGCGTGAGATGCATGTAGGTGACGGGAAGAGTACCCATCCGAAAGAGTGAAAAGGTGGTGAACAGATAAAACTAGCAAGTGTATTGCGTCTCGAGCTGTAGTACAGTGGGGAGGGTGCTCACCCTGCATGTGGACAACCAGGGTACATCCCAGCATCCCATTTGGTGCCCCCAGCCCTGGCAGGAGTGATCCCTGAGCAGAGTCAGTAGTAAGCCCTGAGCACCACTGGGTGTGGCCCAATTCCCCCCCTCCCTTCCTCTGCCACCACCAATGTTTACTTAATTGTTCTCTTTGAAATAGTTAAAAATGGGTAGTCGCTGTTTACAGGCTAGTAATTTTCATTGCTCAAAATTTTGTCTTTATGTTTATAATGTAGTATTTTTTTGGTGTGTGTGTGTGTGTGTGTGTGTGTGTGTTTCATTTGATTATACCACTATTATTTTGCTTTGTCAGAGTTTTAAACAAAAATTAAAAATGATATGAATAATGGTATCTTGGGTCCAGAAAGATAGGAATGCAGAGCCAAAGTGATAATACAGTGGATAGGGGGTTTGCCTTACACGCAGCTGACCCAGGTTTGATGCCCAGCACCCCATATGGTCCTGAGACGCACCTAGAGTGATCCCTGAGTATAGAGCCAGGAAAAGCCCTGAGCATCACCAGGTCTGATGTGGGCGTGCCCCCCCACCCCACCCCCCAACAGTCAGGAAAGACAGACTAGAGCACATGCATTTGTGTGTGGAACACCAGATTTAATCCTTGGCATTGCATCATCCTGGGATCTCCCCTTAATTTTTTTTTTTGTTTTTTTCCTTTTTGGTCTTTCTGAGTCATACCCAGTGATGCTCAAGGGTTATTCCTGGCTCTGCACTCAGGAATTAACTCCTGGCAATGCTTGAGAGACCATACAGGATGGTGGAGATCAAACAAGGTCAGCCACGTGCAAGGCAAAAGTCTATCCACTGTACTATCACTCAGGCCGCCGCCTCATCATGATTTTTGTAGTTAAAAAATGTATGAGGAGCCAGAGAGGGGATGAGTACAGCAGGTAAGGTGCAGGCCTTGCATGTGGCCAGCCTGGATTCGATTTCCAGTACTTGCTATGATCCTTTGAACCTTACAAGGAGTGATCCTTGAACGCAGAGCCAGGACGCAGAGCAGAGCTTTTTTTTTTTTTTTTCTTTAAATTTTTATTAGTGAAACACCATGAGGTACAGTTGTAGACTTACAAATTTTTGGGCTTGGATGAGCAGAGCTTTTAGGTGTGACCCTAAAGACAAAATACAAAATATCAGTATTTGTATTTCAGACAAAATACAGATTTTATCTGTACACAAAATTACTTAAATTTCATAGAAAATCCACTTGGTATTTATATTTATAACCTTTAAACTATTAGATATTTGAAGACTTTTAGTGCAAATCTTTCGAAAATTAGTTACAACTTTTTTTTTTTTTAACAGGAACTCATATTGCATATAGAAGGAAACATTTGACTGGGTGGGGTGTGGAATTGGGCCATACTCAGTGATGCTCAGTGGTTACTGCTGGCCTGCACTCAGGATCACTCCTGGTGGTGCTCAGAGGCCATATGGGATGCTGGGGATTGAACCCAGGCTGGCTGTGTGCAAGGCAAATGCCCTACCCGCATACCCAACTATGCCCAGGCTTTATACCTGACTCTGTGCTCAGGGGGACCAAAAGAGGTGACACGGATAGAACCCTGCTAGGGGGCCTGCAAGTACCCTACCTGCTGTTCTGTCTCTCTGGCCCCAGTATGTATTTTGAGTTAATATGGCTTTTTTCCCAGTTTGTTTTGTTTTTGTTTTTTGTGTCTCACCTGGCGATGCTCAGGGGTAACTCCTGGCTGTGCACTCAGAAATCTCTCCTCCTGATTCTCAGAGGACATATGGGATGCTGGGAATTGAAACCTGGGTCAGCTTCATGCAAGGCCAGTGCCCTTCCCGCTGTACTATTGTTCCATCCCCCAGTTTGTTCGTAGAGACACTACTTGTTTTTTGTTAGCTGGAATTATAAACTGGCATGTTTAAGTTGACTGTAAACTACTAAATGATTCAGGAAAATTCTGACATAACTTTCAAATAAAACCTTTTTTAAGACTTAGTACTTTTGATTTTGGCTATTCAGGGACTATTCGGTTTACTTTCTGTATCTCAGATTTGCACCAAAGATAAATTTTGGATAAAGTAATAAGTTGATGTAACTGTTAGCAATTACCTTTGGCGTTTCGCTTGATAACAGGTGATTACAAATTAGAGAAGTCTAATGGGGAAATCAGTGAGTCTCCTGGATCTGGAAGAGGAGCAGCTGGTTCGACTCGCATCATCACCAGATTACGGAACCCAGACAGCAAACTGAGTCAGATGAAGAGCCAGCAGGTGGCGGCTGCAGCCCATGAAGCTAATAAATTATTTAAGGAAGGCAAAGAGGTCCGTTCTTTCTGTTCCAAAGGAATCTATCTAGCACTTGGGATTGTCAGTATACCAATAGCAGAAAAAGAGCGACAGAAAGTTTGTCGAGTTTCTTTTGTTTTGTCTCTTCTAGTAGTGTCATGTGAAAGTTGTTAGGTTTATGTTATGGTAAGTATAATGAAAATGCTCACGTTTCAGACTGTTCAGAGAAATCCTGTGAGTGAATGGGTGGTGTACTTTTCAAGTACATGGCTAGTTTTATCGCATGTAGTTCTTAGGAGATGGTGTTTCTTTTTCGCATAGGGTATCGGATAGGCTACTGATGGGCTTTATTAAAGAGTTGTAGATGATTTGATATTCAGTGTTAGCTATAATTACCTCAGGTGAACTTCTAGTTCATGAGCAGATGACCCCACTCTGCAGTTGCTGTGTACAAGGCATAGGAGACTAGGACCATTCCCCTGTTGTGTAATGAGAAGAATTGAATCTGGGATTTAATATTTCTGTGTCCATCCATGCCCTCCCCCACCCCCTCCCAGTCCCCCAACCTAGTTATGGTGATGGGCCAGAAGTTGTAAGTGTATCTCTCAGGTTTGAGGGCTACTTGCAAGGTAGGTGTGTCAGAATATCCAGCATGTTTTTTTTTTTTCACATTAAATCAGTCTCCACCCATGGGATTTAAATTTGGGGTTGGGGGCCACTTTCGATGGTGCTGCTGGAGTGGGGGTTCAGGGGGGGCTGGCTGCTTGCACGGCCAGGCCCTTAAGCTTTGATCCCTGTACTATCTCTCCCAACCCTAGTGAGACAGTTCTAATAGCCAGTACGTACAGTAAAACAATTCTTGAAGTTACATTTTTCATCGTATGTGGGAAGCATTCTGGTATTTTTTTTCTTCTAGCCTATGGTGTAATTTAATTTTTTAAAAGACTGAACGATTCCTCTTTTGATTTCATAGTCTTCTAAAGGCTTAGTATCTACTGTTTGAAATTACTGTTCTAACATAAATCATGGGCTCTTACACTAGAGTTGTAATGGTGAAAGAAACAGGAAAAAAAGGTAAATGCCTTGTCTTTAGGAATACATGTTTTGGGGAATGAGCCATAAAATGTTTTTTTTTTATCCCTAACATATTTTAGGTTTGAAATAATGATAGGTAAATGATTTGCAAATAATACAGTATCTATATTGAGATACATGAAAGCACTTATTTAATGTTTGACGTATAATAGATAATAGCCTTCTTTTCTTTTTACATTTATTGTTTGTTTTGTAAAGGATGAAGTCTGGTTCTTAGCTTTTAAGCTTCAGAAGTTCAGTCATAGGATATATCTTATTAGGAATGATAAATTGACTGTTGAAAGGCGATTGATTTCAAGGTTACATCTTTGACTTAAATGCTGGACTCTTTTCCTTCTATTGGTCAGGTACTGGTAGTTAACTCTCAAGGAGAAATTTCACGATTGAGCACCAAAAAGGAAGTGGTCATGAAAGGAAATATCAATAACTATTTTAAGTTGGGCCAAGAAGGGAAGTACCGTGTCTACCACAATCAGTATTCCACCAACTCGTTTGCTTTGAATAAGCACCAACACCGAGAAGATCACGATAAGAGAAGGCATCTTGCGCATAAATTCTGCCTGACACCAGCAGGAGAGTTCAAGTGGAATGGCTCCGTGCATGGCTCCAAAGTTCTTACCATATCTACCTTGAGGCTGACCATCACCCAGCTGGAAAGCAATATTCCTTCCTCCTTTCTTCATCCCAATTGGGCTTCTCACAGGTAAAGCAAAATGAAGGTTCATTTCTTTCTGTGAAGATCCTAAGTATATACAAACTACCATGGTTGTTACTTACTTTTCACCCACTAATGCCAGTGGATTGAATGAAGTCAATTTAGCAAAACACTTGAGATTTGCTGGATGGAGATTGGGAGTGTGGCTCTCCTTCCAAGTTACTGAACCAACACTGGCTTTGGAAAGATTTCTGGGAGGGAGAGAATGTCTGGAATCAACTGAGGCCATATAGTGTTCCAGAACTTTGTCAGAGAGCTAGCAGCCTTCCAGTTTTCAAAATATTTGTTACATCTGGGTCAGGGTTGTAACTTCGTGGTACGGCCCTGGCCTTGCATGTGTAAGGCCCTGGGTCTGAGTCCTAGCACTGCAGAAATAATACTGTGAGGTAGGAGCTAAGGCAGCAGTGGATTGCATCTGCTTATGCTAGACATTCCTTGTAAGTTGGAGCCTCTTAAATTGCTACTCTTGTACATTTAAGATCAGTGAAGTAAAAAATACTTTTTTTCTTCTGAAATACAGGGCAAACTGGATTAAGGCAGTTCAGATGTGTAGCAAGCCCCGAGAATTTGCATTGGCTTTAGCTATTTTGGAATGTGCCGTTAAGCCAGTTGTGATGCTACCAATATGGCGGGAATCTTTAGGGCACACCAGGTAAGTGAATTCTGAATCTTGCGAGTGGTATCACTCTCCCTTCCAGATTACCGGCCTGTTAATAATGCAACTGTTTTAAAGGCTATATGAGACGTCTGACTCATAGCCTCATTTTTCTCTTTTGTAATATGTAAATATGAATGAACAGGAATTCTTTTTTTTTTTCTTTTTGGGTCACACCCGGTGATGCTCAGGGGTTACTCCTGGTTCATGCACTCAGGAATTGCTCCTGGCGGTGCTCAGGGGACCATATGGGGTGCTGGGAATCAAACCTGTGTCGGTCATGTTGACTGCGTGCAAGGCAAACGCCCTACCCGCTGTGCTATCGCCCCAGCCCCTGAACAGGAATTCTTATGGTGTAATATTCTAATGAAAATCAAGAGATCAAATATATGAAAATTAAACATTTTTCAAAGTCACATTTTTATTGAATAGGAATAGGACTCATTTTTAAAAAACATGTATTCTGGAATATTTCAGGTACAACATCTGATCTGTTTAGAGTTTATTGTCTCACCAGATACTGAGGAGCTTTTGCTTCAGCAGATAATTACAAAGTTAATAAATTAGGATCAAAGAACCAGTTGTGCATGCTTTGCATGCTGGAGCTCGGGGTCAGTCCTTGCCCACCACTTTTTGCACCTTGCTGGGAGTGGCCCCTAAATGGTGCTGCCTTGTGTGACCCCAAAACCAAAAAAAATTTGTGACTTGAATCTATCTTTCAGCCGCCATGTTTTTATTGTGTAACTTTAGTATTTAAATAATTACAGGAGGGGCCAGAGTGTTTATACATTGGGTAGGGCACTCGCCAAGCCAACCTGGGTTTGTCTCTGGTACTCTGTGTGGTCCCTGAGCCTGCTAGGAGTAATCCCTGAGCACAGAGCCAGGAGTAAGTCCTTGGCAATACCGGGTGTAGCCCCTAAACAAAACCAAGTTATGATAGGAGCTGGACAGATACACAGCAGGCAAGGTGCTTGCAGCCGAGCTGTTCAATCCCTGGCATCTCATAAGGTCCCTGAACCCGCCAGGTGTTATCCTTGAGCATAGTGCAAAGAGCAATCCCTGAGTACCACTGGGTGTTCTCTTTCCCCCCCACCCCGCCCCCACTTTCCCCCAAAAGTTATTATAAAACCAGTTTAAGCTTATGGTACAATACCAAAACCGTAGTTCATTGTGAAAAGTATGTATGACAGGGCTCATTCCAAAGGTATAATCTAGTAATTACTATTTTTACTCTGCTTGGGATTGAAGCCAGGACCCCATATATACAGGGCACGTGTGTTACCACTGAATCACATCCCTGACACTAATATAGTAATTTTTTAAATAGAAAGTCATTTTGTTTTACATTGACTTCTTTTTTTTTTTTTTTTTGCTTTTGGGGGTCACACCCAACAGTGCTCAGGGGTAATTCCTGGCTCTGAACTCAGGAATTACTCCTGGTGTTGCTGTGTGGGCCGTGGGGGGAACTATATGGAATACCAGGGTCGACGACGAGCAAGGCAAATGCCCTCCCCACTGCACTATGGCTTCAGTCCCTTGTTTTACATTCTGTATCTGTTTTGTTTTATAACATAGAGGTTATTTGGTGGTGGAGACCCTTTGTTTGATGTCAGGGATCTAATCCAGAATCTCATCCGTGCTAAACATGTGCTCTGACTTCGCGCTGATTCCTTGAACTTTGGTGCTTTTCTGTTTAGTGGTTTAGGGCCCGCACCTGTGAATGCTCAGCGGCTGCTCCCTCCCCTCGGTGTTCACAGGGCCATGTGGTGCTAGGGATAGGATCTGGGTCCAGCCCTTTGATTGTTTTTTTTTCCTGGTCCTAAGTTCTTTGAGGACAAAACAGTCTCATTTAGGAGTTGCTCTTAGTTCTGTTATTTTTCCCGCATAATCTTTTTTTTTTTTCCCTTTCTGGCCACACCCTGCTCCAAAGGACCCAGTTCTGTTTTCAGTGCAGCCACAGGGTGCTGGGGACCAAGCATGCATCCCTCCCATGCAAAGCCCATGCTCTTGTTCTTTGACCCTTCCTCCTGGCCACCAGCACATAAGTCTCAGGTCATTCTCTCTCTCTCACCTTCTCTTCTACACTGGATGGACTTGTGGCCACCATACATGATCACAAAGGGAATCGCCTTTGTTCATCCTAAAATTCTTCCTGACCTCATTCTCCATGTTTTCTTTCCTACTGTCTTCCCTGGAAGCTTTCCTCACCTCTTTCTCTGGGTTGTTTGTTTTGGGGCCACACCTGGCAATACTAAGGGGTTACTCCTGGCTTTGTAGCACTGTAGCACTGTCCTCCCATTGTTCATCGATATGCTTGAGCGGGCACCATTAACATCTCCATTGTGAGACTTGTTTTTATTGTTTTTGGTGTATCAAATATGCTACTGGGAGCTTGCTTGGCTCTGCCATGTGAGTGGGATACTCTCGGTAGCTTCCCGGGCTCTCTGAGAGGGGCAGAGGAATCAAACCCGGGTTGGCCTCGTGCAAGGCAAATGCCCTGCTCGCTATGCTTTGGCTCCAGCCCTGTGCTCTGTAATTAATTACTTATGGTGGTGCTTGGGGGACTGTATTGGAGTGTGGGAGATCAGTTCCAGGTTGGCTTGCAGAGCAAGCGCCCTCCCCACTGAACTGTCACTAGAGAATCCCCACTGGATTCTTCCTTTTCCCATTTGGTGTCTCTCCATGTACCCAAGGTGTGCCTTTTGTACCTTAAAAATTCCATATGTAAATGTGTTACTAAACACAAAAAACCAATTCCATACATATGTGACCATGCATATTATAAAGGCTACATAAACTGTAGTCGGCTATAATAAAATGAACCACCAGTGAATTCACCAGTTTACAAATAAGAATACTATCATTATTATATCTATTTTCCATTCACAATACTGTGACTCTCCTGAGAAATACTTCTGAAATTTTATTTTTTTTTGTTAAGCCCATCTTCCTTTTTACTGTGTAATTTTTATTCTGTATCTCAGTAAAAAGTAGATATTTTCTCTCCCTTGAGTTTTATAGTAATATCTTCAAATACTGAGTTCACAGACTAAATGTATTTTTATTATTTTATCATAAAATAATAAAAATGGACTAGTTTACACAGTATATTCAAGAATTTTCACAGTTGAGTAAAAAAGAAACTAAATCATTGACTTTAAAAAAAAAAACACAAGGGTCCAAAGAGATGGTCTAGTGGGTAAAGCACATGCCTTGAACACAGCTGACCCGAGTTCAGTCCCCAGTACCCCAGAGTTGAGCACCACCGGGAGTGATCCCTGAGTGCAGAGCCAGGAGGAAGCTCTAAGCAAAATTGGGTGTGGTGCCACTCCAAATTAAAAAAAGTAAAAATCAAAAATAATCATAATTAATAGAAGAGGAAATACAAATAGCCACAGACCATGTAAAGATTCTTAGCCACCCAGATAAGGTGGGGGAAATGCACCTTCAAATACTGTCCCAGAGAGGTTACTGAAAGCAACACTTTGTGCATACTTTGGCTTCAGTCTCTGGCATCACATGGCTTCCCGTGGCATGCCAGCAGGTGTGGTCAGCAGTAAAAAAAGCAGCGAACTGTTATTTACATCAGATTGTTAGAAGTTTGAATAGTATTGGCAGTCTGTCACATTATGGGAAGAAAATTTTAGTCAGTTGCTCATGGGAGATAGTACAGAGATAGTGCAGGGTGCATACGCTGAAGTTTGTGGATGCAGCCGAGGGTAGACGGGAAATCGGTACTCTTCCATGCTACCATTAGAAAAGAAAAATAATAGAAAATTAGCTAGATATGTTTCTCTAGAAGTCATTTCAAAGGAATTTTAAGAAATAAATGAAACTTTTTATGAAGTAGAAAACAACAAACGTACCTTAGGTGAAATGAGTAGAATCCTGAACCAGAGAGGTAGTACCCAGGCAGCCAAACTGGGTTCCATCAAGGGAACTGCATGTGCTTCCAAGAGTGCCAACAAGAGTGGTCATTGAGCTGAGAGCCAGAGTAACACCTGAGCACGGCCGCGTGTGGTACAAAAAGGAAAAAAAAAACTAATCAAATTCTTAATTGAAACTGGAGAGACAGTGCAGCAGGTAGGGCGCTCGTCCCTGATATCCCATATGGTTCTTCCTCTCCTCCCCTCCCCCCACCCCCCACATCACCATGAAGAGCAGTTCGTGACGCAAAGCCAGGTTCCTGAGCATCGCCACAGTTGTCTCCATAGCAAAATAAACAAAAATTCAGCGTCTCTAACTGGTCATCAGGAAAGAGAACAAAAGCAGAAAGGACCAAACACTGTCACCATACTTCTGATTCTTCGTTGCTGGCACATGCGCTGCCCAGATCATGTTCAGGCTTCCCATGTCTGCAAAGAGCAGGGCCTGCCAGCCGGACTTGGGACTGGGGAAGGGCCGCCTGGCGGAACTGGCGCCCTGATTCCTGTGTTGAACAGGAGGGTGGAGGCCACTCTTCCCTCAGGCAGGAAAAGGTTGGTTGGTTGGTTGGGTTATGCTGTGTGGGGGTTGGGGTCCTGGGGTCTGTTTATTTTAAGGAGTAGCTCTCTACACATGAGTGAGGCAGTGGGCAAGACCAGATGATTTTGTACATAAATTTTTGGAAGCAGTTAATTTTACCTGAACTCCCCTAAGATAAAGATGGAAGTGTTACAGAGTTTTTGTTACCATAAAACTGTTTGAAATGTTGATAAGTAGAAATAAATATGAAGAAAGTTTAGAGGTGGGTCCAAAGTGATAGTGCAGTGGGGAGGGCGTTTGCCTTGCATGCAGCTGACCTGGGTTTGATCCCCTCCAACATTGCTAGGAGTATTGCTGAGTGCAGAGCCAGGAGCAAACCCTGAGCATCATTGGGTATGAACCAAGCAGGGAAAAAAAAAAAAGAAAGCCTATAGTCCTGTCACTTTTTACTAATATTTAATTGATTAATAATAGCAAATAGGTGTGTATTCAAAAAATCTTAAAATATTAACAAGTATACTGAGGAGTAAATT